AGTTTTAGACAGTCTTGCTGCTTTTAATTCTCATTTTTTTCCCAATCCAATTCATCATTTCTCTCACGCAAATTCTGGTATTACCAGAAGATCTGAGCAACTGTAACGCGAATGACAGAGACATGGGAACCACCGAAGTTGTGCTTTACTAATCAGTGTTTCACTAATAAATACGAAGAATAAGGAAGATGATACATAAGATTGAATTGCATTTTTGCTTTACCATATTACAGAATGACAAATCCTGATTTCAAAAGCACATTAAATGTGATAGGAAATCTTGACAGCATATTTATCTTTTTCTCCAAAAAATTAGAAGCCAAGAAATAAATCAGCAGTTGTACTTGCATTCAATTTCTTAGTTGCACATTACCAGTTACTGTGTGTATGGTATTTAACACTTCTAATGCACAGTACAACAGCAGTACCTTTCAAGACGCGTAGACAGAGAAGCATTTTTTATGCTACACAAGGCAAAAAAAAAAATTATCTGGATTAGGACTGCAATTTTTATTATTTGAAAAAGTCAGAGCCCTATCTCCTTTGACTTCAGTGCTAAATTTCAAACACCATAAGCAACAAGCCCAACTGGAATGATAACATGAGCAAAATCTGAGCCAAAATAGAGACCTCCTTTGGTAGGCAAAGTTCTCATTCCAACATTTTTTTCTCTAATTCGGTTAGTACTTCTAAGACTATTTATAATTGGAAAGATTAGATACCAAAAATATGACAGCTCCAGAGAGCTGGGAAGATATATGCGTGTTTAGGAACAAGAATAAAGTTCTTCAGTAACAACCATAAAAGGCTGTTGTACATGGCAGGTCTAGTTTCAACAAACACCAGTCTGGGTGTTTCTCCTGAAAGCTATACTTACTAAGTTGCATACATCTTTTTCTAGAGGTTGGAAAGGATGTTACCAGTATTGAAGAACAGTTCTTTTCAAGAGTAATCTCTAGCTAAAGAAAAATAATAATAATGCAGTTCAGTGGGCTATATAGCTCCCCCATGTCTCTCCCAAACTCAGAGGAGTATTTTTCTTTCCTGCCTGCCCCAAATCCCTTGACTGGCATCAGACTGCATCTTTCAAAAAGCTTTGCCTGCCTGCTCTGGTCAGCTCTTTCAGCCAGCCCATCTGTGGTGTCAGTTCTCTTGATACCACTAAAGACTCCATGAAGGGACAGGAAAAAAAAAGAAAAGATTATCTGAAATAAAACAGATCCTTTACAGTCCATTTACAGTCACACCCACTCATTTAATCATTCCAGAGATAGCACAACAAGCTTCTTAAACTACAAAACTCACTGTAAGGAAACCACAGAACAGTGGAAAATTGGTCACTCCTCAGTCAGTCAAGTCTCAGTCTGTGTGCTCACTGCGTATTTTCTACAAGCAAGAGATACTGAAATACTAGGAAAAGGCATTCTATTGCAGACATACAAGAATCAGTGATATACTATAGCATTAAAGAAATTTCAGACAATTTTAGGACAGCTTGATACTTTTATGAGAGGTGAATTACTGTAGAATCATATACAGAATGAGCCGTTCTTGGGACAACTTGACGTTCTGCAATCCATCAGTAACTGAGCTTCATAAACCTCTCACTGTACATGGACACTGATGTAATCATAGAACTCTAATAAAAGCACTGACACTCCAAAAAAAAAAATGTTTTGAGCCACAAACTCATTTTTTTTCCTACCTTAATCTATCCCTTTACAACTAATAAAAAACACATGAACAATTTCTGGAAGTTGCTTTTCAGCTTTCATTATCTCAAACGATAAGCAGCAAATTCTTACCTAGGAGGAGGCTTCTGCAAAAGCTGTAAACCGTTGAGAGAGACTCTAGATGCATATGAGAAATAAAAGCTATCAATATTTTTTGACAAACAAAGCTTTGCCTAGCACACTACTGTGTAGGGAGAAGTATGATTTCCTCTACCTGTACCTTCCCAAATATTTTCTGAGATGAACTCCCAGTCAAATTGCTGTGTGACCTTATTTTCAATTTTCTTCATGCATTTTTACAACACTCACGCTTCAACAGTATTTAACATTATCACTCCCAGCAGTCAAGGTTGTTTGTATAACATGTAATTTGCCGAGAACCTGTTACTTGAAAGGAAGACCTCTCCTGTCTGCACAGCAGATTTGTAGGTGGAGAAAAGGAGCCTTGCTGAGAGAGAGTGGCAGGCGCCAATAAATATCGCAGTAAGAACAGAGCTGAAAATGCATGGGGCATCCTTCACCAAGGAATGACAGCACACTAGTCCTCTGCATATAGTTCCAACTAATTTGCTGCAGGACTGCTCATAAAGATCCCGTAACTGCCGTGAGCCTAACTGCAGGCAGATCTACCCCAGACTCATGCTATCACACACAGGACACACGTGTTTCTGGCACTGTTTAATAACTGAAGTAAGATGCAAAGGCTGCATCAATACAGCACTTCAAAGGCAACCCTCAAAGATCAGTGGAATAGGGCTCTGTGAGGAGAAATGCCAAGAGCCACACTATAAATAGCGTGTCTGGATATACCTAACCATGTCTTAACTTCACAGTGCCTTTTGAGCTGCTGAATGTCCTCAAGTGACACAATCTAACATACCGAGCTGGTTGGAAAGAAGTACCTGGAGCAAAGCTCTTAATAATTAACTCCCAAGGCTCCACAGATGTCCCTGGTCCTGTTCGATTCTATATCTCAGACACTATCCTAGAGATGCTTCTCTCGTTCACAGACAACACAAAGCTCAGAACAATGTTGTAGTCCCTTAGAGCAGACTATAGGCTCCAAAACCTTGGCAGTATTTCAAAGGCATGTGTGTATGCAGAAACAAGCAAATGAAGTATTATTATTGGAATGTGGTGTCTAAAACACCTGTGAAACTTGCACTATTCAAGAAATCAGATGTTTTGTTCAGAATTCTTGAAATAAATACTTGAGAACTAAACACAAACACACTGCATTAAGTAGGTTGCACTGTTTCTTGGCATTTTTTTCCTCTGATGTGTTTACACTGCTGTTCGATACAGAAAGACCTCAGCCTCATTGCACATACAGGCACCACTCCAAGTCGACTGGTAAATGAGTTAGTGGAATCAGATTCAAGCACTTATGTCCTTTTCATTGTGCTCTACTAGAAAAATAAGATTGGGAAAACAATACTAAAGCAACAGTAACTGTGGTTTCTGCACCTCAGAAGGAAAAAGTACAAAGTCATATCAACCAATATCAAACCAGAACAACCAGCTCTCCTCTCCCCACAACATTCATATGAAAGAGCTTTCCTAGAGAATTAGAGGAAACTAGAAATGCACATCATATCAGTTTTAAAACAAACAAACAAAAGAAAGAAAAGAGAGTTTGAATATTTTTGCTCTTTTGCCCAAATCCTTTATTTCTGTAAGAGCAGAACTGGGAGCTGTGATCAACTCACAGAAAAAAAAAATTAAAAATTAAAATAAAATAAAATAAAACTAACCCTTCCCTCATTTTCAACTGTGAGCAGGTACAGGGCTTTTTTTTTTTTTTTTTTTTAATAATTGGTCCACCTAAGCCCCTAATATATTTGAGTCACATAAAAATCCACATCCACCATGTATTTTAAATATTTACTTAGGTTTATGCTTCAGTTTACTTCTACACAACATATCAGTACCACAACAGCAACATATCAGACAAAAAATATTTAATTAAGCCTGCAGACATTAAAATCAATACTGTGCAAATGAAAATATATTGCTGCTAACTCATGAACCAGTGCCATTCAGCTGCATACCTACATCTAACGTGACGGTTAAATACATCCTTTTGAGTTAACATTACAGGAAATAAAACAGCAGTTTTAATCACACTATTTAATTTAGATACACTTTTTTACCATGTTCAGATTCAAAAGCCATATTTTCTTCATTCCCAGTAACTTTTAACCTTAGACAGTTACACTAAAAGTAAAGTTCAACTTCCCTAGGCAGTCAGTGTAAGCTGAGAAAACTATCTTGGAAAGAAGAACTGTTTTCCACAGAGGAAACTTGAAGTAGTTACCTAGTCATCTGCTCTAGGCAACATGCTCTGTGGTTTCTGCTTGAGCACAGGGCTGGACCAGATGACCTGAAGAAGTCCCTGCTGACCTCAACCATCCTATTATTCTGTGATCTAAAAGCTACAGGCAATTGCAACACTGAAGTAGACCGAATCCAACAAAATAAATCCTTTTTATTTATTTAATTATTTTAAACCTACATGCACTGGTTATACGACTGAAAACTGCCCAAATTTTGTCCTTCATAAAGTGATGTGGGCTACTACCCATGGTGCAAAATGGGCTAACACACTAAACAAGAGGGTTCCTGCTCCTGCACATGATCTTAGGTAAAAGGATGAATTAGCATAGTTCATAACAACTTGTACATAAACTTGTATGGACATCTGCAGATTTCTTCTGCCTTTTAAAATACTTAACTGGAGCAGTTACCACAAAAAGATGACATTATGAACAGGGAACCTGATGGTCTTATGCTTACTTATAAGAAAGCAAGAAAAAAAGTTAACATGAATTGAAGAGTTTAATCAGGAGAAATATTAAGAATGGAGCAGGTTTGCAAATATTTTGTCAATAGACCAAGCTCTAAGTACACCATGAGTTAATATGGGGAAAAATGAATAAATAAAAAAGCACGTTACTCCTCTGTGTAAGGGAAACAACTTCTACTTGTGTCATCTCCCAAGTTATCAATATGCCTGCAAGTACAACATAACTCTTTTGTCTATGTGTTAAAATTTTTGCACCACAATTTAACCACCAGATTCTCTTTGGCTAAATCTGTTATTTCTCTGGCATTTTGTTTCAAAAAATAAATAAATGTATGAGTTCAGAAGGTATGTACACCTGTGTGATTAATGGATTGTCCAAAGAACTTCAAAGAAATATTGCTCACCTAAAAAGCAAAATGAAACAAAGATTAGGACCTGAGGCCAGAAAAGGCTATACTTACTCTTTATTCCTGCTCTTAACGCATGGCTGGTAAAGAACTTTGACAGCATTCCAGGTCCCCACTGCTCCAGAGTTAGGCAGGAAAGTATCTCCAAACAGCGTAAAAACATTGTGGGAGGAGGAACTTCCTAAAGACTCCACCAGCAATGTGTCAGAATTTAAAAGCCATATCTGTAAATGAAGAAATAATTTATTTTACTTAGGATCAGAGTAAAGGAAGAAATTGAAATTGATGTCATCCTAACTCTGATGTGCCATGAACAGCTGATATGAAAGCCACATTCTGACAGTTCCTAAGAAAGCATTAACAAACATGCTGACATTTTACTTTCACTATTACTTATCACTGTCTGCTCAGCCACTGGAGAAGAAAAACAGGAGTTAATAAAACCGACGCCTGATACATCACAGTCACTAATAAGATTTATTTATTTATTTTAAGGAATTAGTAGAGCATATGGTGTTGAATGACTGAGTGCTTAAGACAGAAAATTGAAAGGCTGCCCACTGGAAGTGCCAACAAGTAAGGATTTTTAGAAAACATATAGTTATAACCAGGTAGGGCCAAGACATGCAAAGAAAAAGATAGCAATTAATGTGGTCTAAAAGTAACGCTGGGATGTACAGAAGGCTGTAACAGAGCCTCATCTGGAAAATAAAATTTAATGAAATATGATCAGGGGAGTGGTGTTCTTCATCAGTAGTTGCTCACAGCAGTTCATGGAGAATTTACTGGGGAGAATTTTGAGAAAACTGAACAATTTGCATCACTTCATGGATTTCATCTAACATTTGTGTGATTGTGTATTAGTGTTCCAAGCTAGATTCAGGGCTTTGATGCTAAGCACTGTACAAAAAAAGTCAGGCTTCTCCTTTATTGATAGCCCAGAGTAGTGAAGTGATCTGAGTTACCAATGGAAATTAATTTTTACAAGTCCTGAGCCAGTACAAAATGCTTGTGTGTGAAATATTTATCACAGGAAACAGATTTTACGCAGTACTGCTCACTAGACCATCATCTTTTGTTTCTCATGACCGAATCAACTTCAAGTAAAACAAGTTGCCTGATGCAAGGTAACAGACATATGACATCCCCCATGAAGGGAGAAAGCCACTGTTAACAGGACATGCAGTACATGTCATACATGTCACAGTTTATCAGAGCCCAAGGCTCAGCACAGCACAGTGAAAGCTCAGTGAACAAGGAAAGAGATGTAGAGATAAAGATGTTTTGGAAGGGATAACCACTTGAGCATATGCACCCGAACGATGACAAGCAACTGCACTTAGCTTAGTGAGTGGCTGTTTTGATTTTGTTCTGGTAATTCACAGAACACATTCACAGCCTGAACTGCAAAATGTACCTCCCTAGCTAGGGCCATTACACACGGTGCTTTAAGCTGAGTGTTGAAGATGTGTTGGAAAAAATGTTGATGAAACAGACATGCCCTACACACATGGGTCAGTACCACCACCTCACTTAGCTTTAATTAAACCAAGTTCCTTAATTTTGAAATTGTTAACAGCTTCCTTTGAAGGAGCCTCCTGGGATGCTTTTCAGAAGGTGACTGTCCTTAAAACTAGTCTAGGGAACAATGTAGTTATAGCTGTCAAAGTTTTTCTGTAGCTTGCTTTAGAGAAAGCAATTAATCCATTTAACTGTATCCAAGCCATCCGATTTTGTATGTATGAAGTCATCCTGAAAGTACTTCACATATCACAAGTGTTGATATGTAATTTTTGACAGTAGCATTCTAATGCTTGTTCAGAGTATGTCCTTGTCTCAACTGCAGTCTAACAGACCTTTATTAGTAATTTAGGTACTCGTTATCTCACATCTTGATTGTTTCAATGACCTCTTCTCCAGACTTGGCAAATACAAACTTTTCTGCTCAGGCCCTCTAAGACATGGTCCATGAATCTGTGTCTGACAGACAGGTCTTTCCATTTTGTCATATTTATTTTCTTGGATTATCTTCCCATTCCTTTCCCTCTCACTGCTGAATTTGACTCCAAAAAACAACTTTGATTCATTACTGAAAGACAGGAGTTAGTATTCAGCTACTCCAAACTTTACCACAACATTTTTCATTTTTGCCTATACGTGGTTAAAAGAAAACGTCTCTGGATATACCAAGTACTAAAGTAATTCCAGACTCAAATCCCCATCCATCTTAGAAGTTTGAGGAATTATCTGTTATTAGCTAAATATAAACCTTAACCAAGTGTAGCAGCATTAGAACATCACATATAATTGGCTATTATTTTTTGCTCTTCACTTTGCAATGTAATGTACTGACTACATTAGTAGTTCTTGCTGACCTAAGAAAGTATTTGTGAAAGATGCTAGAAAATTTGATGAACTTGTAGTGATTACAGATAAGAAACACTGAAGCAAGAAAAATGAGATATATACTACAAAGTCAAAATTAAAGCTTTTTATATTTTTCTGAGTAGAAAACATCGCTATTTCTGTGTGTCCTGATTTTTGGCTGGGACAGAGTATCTGTTATGCTGCTGTGTTTTGGATTTAGGATGAGAATAATGCTGATAACAAACCAATGTTTTAATTGCTGCAGAGCAGTGCTTGCACAGAGCCAAAGACTTTCCTGCTCCCCGTGCTGCCCTGCCAGCGAGGAGGCTGGGGGTGCACCAGAAGCTGGGAGGGGACACGGCCAGGGCAGTGGGCCCAAGCTGGCCAAAGGGATGGCCCACACCTGGTGGTGTCCTGCTCAGCAGCAAAAGCTGGGGGAAAGGAGGAGTGGTGGAGCACTTGTGGTGGAGTGATGGCATTTGTTTTCACAAGAAAACATTACGCGTGATGAACCCTGCTTTCCTGAAGTGGCTGAACATCTGCCAGCCACTGGGAAGTATCAAACAGATTCCCTATTTTGCCTTGCTTGTGAACACAGCTTTTGCTTTACCTCCAAACTGCCTTTATCTCAACCAATGAGCTTTCTCACCGATAGCTTTCTGATTTCTCTCCCCCATGCAACTAGGGGAGAGTGAGCAAGCTGCTGGATAGAGCATAGCTGCCTGCCAGAGTTAAACCACAACACTGTGCTGTTTGTGGTTCATCTGCAGTATTTTCACTACTCTACACATCAGAAAGTTTCTGCACGTACATTTGCTTACATTTAAAAAAAAAAAAAAGGGAAAGCTTCTTACATGAACTGAACTGTCCAGAACTACTTCAACACAAGAAATTGAATTAATTCTTCACACATACAATCTTGAACAGCATAAATAACGTGTTTTATGAGCTGAGATTCATACATTAATTTTAAGATAAAAAACTTACCAAAATATAGATCTTTCCATCATCCCCTTTTATAGTGAATCTAAATGTGCTTTTAGCAGATGACAATTCCATAAGACACTGAGCAACCATGCTCTGCACAAACTGAGACCTGTTTAAGAATTAGAGCACATATTATTTGTTTTAATAACAACTACATTGTCATTCATACCAATGCAGTGCAAGTATATGAGAAACTCCATATTGTAAATTCCACCACATCCCGTAATCACTTTTTATAGAGAAATGTAGCTTCTTTATCTTTGTCTCTCCCCCAACCAGAGCACTTATTTCCTGCAACACAATCTTTTAATAGATTTTTTTTAAACAGATCAGCAGACTAAATTGCTCCAAATCCTTTACTTTGACTGACAACAAATGTCAAATGCTGAGTAAAAGCTTTTCCCTATTATATCTTACACATGCAAACACAGCAAAGTTCAGAACAATGCACATATTTTGAATATAATTCACAAAAGACCCGTGACTAATGCATAATAGAAGACAGCTAGATCAAATTCTGTACCATCTTAGTCTTAACTTCAAATTGAATTACTTGAAAATTCAAAAACCCCACAATTAAATACTGCAAGTTTTACTTTATGTCATGTAGCCTGCCATTTCCGTAATTTGTCACCACATGCCATGAAAATTTAAAATGCTTGTTTTTTTGAACTATTTATTTTGGATTATTGTCTGAATAGAGGGACACTGCAACAAACTGTGTACAATCTCTCTTGATGTTATAAACATGCAAACAGAAAAACAATTATATGAGTGAATACAGGCTGCAGTATCTTTCAAATGCTTAAGTCTGTGAATATGTAAAACTTGATAGCACTTCTTTATTATACTTAATTAGTGAATTAACTGAATTTTCCTACATTTCTAGCATCCTTTCCAAAATGTAAAGCTGAGCAAGTTATCTGATTTTTTTTTTTACCTTGGTATTGTGCTGAAACTTTCCTCCGATGGTTGTACAATCACCTCTGTGACATAGTATTTAATAGTATCTGAAGTGACAAACACGTTTAAGTACAACAGAAAAACAAACTTTTTAAAATTAAGCTGTAAATCACTGTATCACTATACTATAATTTTTCGTTCAGCATTCAATTAAGAGGTTCAGCAGGTGATCAAATTCCTGCTTTGGTATGTGGGAGGAGAAGCAACCACGAACAGAAAACATACATTACACCAAAAGAAAACTGCTCTGAGCTAATTACATGATCAGCAATTCGTCATTCATATTGATCCCTGTTTAACACTAGGAACAATCAACTTGAAACAAAGTAAGCAACAGCCAAAGCACTTGGACTGAAATGTTTTATGTATTAATGCTTGCTGGTGCCAATTAACTCTTGCCCAGTATGCACTGCTACGAAGCCAAACCTGAAAGATGAATTGAAAGAACTTTCCTAAAGTACTGGGATCAGCATAGCTTACATAAGTATTTTAGTACCCTCTGCTGCTCAGTAATGCTGCAGTGAATCACAAGAGACAGTTTTAATAACACACAGCACACACAAGGGAATAATTTTTTTCTTTGCTCAAAGAGCAGAATAGAACCTCTTCCCCAAAATTGCACTAACTTAACACTAATATACAAACCATACATTACAAATTTCAATGCAAGTGTTCCCCAAAAGCTCCACTACGACATCCTTTTAGTACTAAATGGAAGAGGTTTAGAATTTAGTTCAGAATTTAATCTTCATCAATAAAGTCGGGTCAAAGATTATCACACTGAAGCTCTGGGTCTAAGCTAAAATACCGCCTAACCAGAGAGCAAGCAGAACAGGTCAAGTATGCAGAATAATAAATTCATTCCACTAAGCCTTAACATGTGAACATCAAAAAAGGATTCATCAATTCCATAAATTTTAAGGGTAAAGGGGATTGACCCATTTGACCTCTGTCTGCACACACCATTAAAACCGGATGAAAGCAAGCTTTTCAGAAAGACACTTAATCCTATTACACAGATTCCAAAGGCTTGGCAGTCCCACCCCTTGTCCAGATAAGTATTATACTTTTTTAATTATCCTCACTGTTAGGAAATTATATGTTACCTCAAAGCTTAATACTAGTCTGCTCCATGCTGTGCCTAGATCTAAGAGACAGGAGAAAAAGAAGCCAGGCCGGTCATACTAGCTCTCCAGCTATTCTCTTGAGCAAGGAATTGGTTCCGTTGCTGAATGGGCTTTGAAAATTGAGGAGATGTTTGCTTGCAGAGGTAGAAGGTAGGAATTCCCAAAAAAAAAAAAAAAAAAAAAAAAAAGCCTATGAGCATGTAGCAATAGTTGGGTGATCTGGGCAAAGCCAGGTCTGGCTTCCACAGCTACACCATCTCAATCCAGTTTGATCTGCAAGGCACTGATATCTTTGCTTATAAGAAAGCACCAAAGCATGACAGTCAAACCTGCTCTCTAGACTCTTCTCATAGAAATGCTTCTGTCCAGATTTCGCTATACATCTCTGATTAATTTGTGCCTGTTCTTTGAACTCTCTGTAAATTTCCTACACTACCGATGAAACATGTTCGAAACAACTGACAAGCTATCTAACTTCAGCAATGCACGAAGTCCAGGACAATTCCTTTGCACGTCTACACGCTATTTGCCTTTTCCCATTTCCTGCAATCACATCAACTGCTGGTTGCTAAAGGCTTAGGTGAAGATATTTATTCACGACAATCCGTAAAGCTCTTTTCTAGCCCCTGTTTTTGCAGTATTACAGTTTGCTTTGAGGGGTTTTCAACACATTACCTTATAAGTGGTTTTCTTAAAGCCTGTACTTTTTAGATCTCTGTACAGGATAATCAGAACCTTCTGTAACTGTCTTCTGTCTCCCTCCTGACTTATTTCTGAAACAGGCTTTGCATTTTCTTTAGTTTTTATATTCTATGAACTGAGCTGGACTCACACTGTTGCAGTAGAGCAGAGGGAGAATGAAAGAAAGAACCCTGCTAGTAACAGCCTTATCATTGCTTCTCTGCTGTTAATAACTGCATTTTAAAAACCATCAGAGACTTATCTTTAGACTACTTCAGGTAAGCCCTAATAACTCAATATAGTGACAGCTTTTAAACCAATAATCTCATAATTTCATCATTAGTTGATGAGAAATATTACATGTTTCTTTGATAAGATTTCCTTTCCATGAAACCAGACTGGCTGTTAGCAATGATATCTTTAGCTTCTAGTTCTTTGCTGAACAAGTTCTGAATTAACCTTCCCATTATTCAGTGGGAATGATAGCAAAATAAACAACCTGTAACTTTTGAGGTCTCCTTTATTACTGGGATTCCTAATAAACTGGAATCTTTCTTCCTGTCTTCCAAAGCTTTGCAACTAATATGCCAGAGAAACTAGGATAAGGAAAATCTCCATGGTAAATCATTTTCAAGGTCTAACAGTGAAAGCAATCTCATCTATTCCAGAAGAGAATAACACAAACACACAGGAATCAGCCCTGCATTTTTCTGTTAAACTGTTTTTCTCCAATGCTTTTAACCTCCAGTGCTCATTGGCTGAAGCAGTCAAGTCCAGTTTAGTCTGTACATGCCATACCTGATGATATTGTTTCTCCCAGCATGGTCTTGCAGCGCTTACAAAATACTCTGGTATTTTCTTTTGATTTCTGTAGGATAAAGAAATGTCATTTAAATGTTGCTCAGTTATTCTGAAAAAGGAACTTTAACATACTCTCCAGAGTATATAGTTTACATTGTACTTTAGTTTGTTATCTTTAAATTTACGTATACAAAGATGTGCATTGACTATTACAGCCTTCTACATGCTTGCAAGTTTCACATTAATTTTAAAATCTGGCAATATTACTGATCACACAGCACAGCCTTTAATAGATAACAGGAGAATCTCATAATACCAAGTGACAAAGTGATGAAGTAAATTCAACTTTGATAAGGGAAAAATAATGCATACAAGAAATATTGCTAAATATATACACAAAATATTATGCTGTAATGTGACTAATACCACTCAGGAAAAAGTTCTAGTCACTGTGGACAGGTTTATAGGAATCCCACTTCAGCAAAAAGCAGAAAAGGTCCCCAGAGTATGCAGAGTTACTAGGAAAGAATTAAAGAACATAACATACGATATTCCAGAAAGGTGTGATGGATTCACTTCTCAAACAATCCCTCTCCTTCAATTCAAGTCAAAAAAGTACTGACAACAATTAATTGTAAGAAGTACAGAACAGTTCCCATATGTGGGCTGAATGCACATAATATGAGACAGCATGAAAGGCAGAAAACTGAGTGTCATCACTGAGATGTATAAAGCCACAAACGCTGAGGAAAAGCTGAACAATGGAAAGTTATCTAATAGTCATTAACTCATGTTGTGAAATTATAATCTGGTTTGAATCAAACAAAAAGAAGAGACAAGGCACAATAAGGCACAATATAGCTCAGTCCTCACCACAGGAAAATATTTTTCATGCTACAAGTATACGTATGTTCAAAAAAGTCTTCAAAAACTCTGAGAACAATGTTCATCAAGGGCTTATTAAATACAAAAATCATGGATAATAACACCTCATTAGACAATTCTCTACACCTGCAGAAACAACCCTCAATACATGCCGTACTGTTACACATCTATTGCTGCCCGTTGAAAAAGATTTAATTTCTGCATCAACCTGTGACCTGACCTAGTAACATTCCTATTATTTATTTCCAGTGTTAATACTTAAATTCAGGATCAGTAGAAAGATACAAGCATAATTCCTACTTTAAGACAAAGTAGGAACTCCAGAACTGGTTCTACGTTGGGTTATTAACCTGGCTGTATTTCGGTATGGCTCTGGTCTGGAAGCAACACATTCAAGCAAACACAATGATGTTCCTGACTTAATAAACCCTTATGAAACTTAAAATCCCAGGAACATAATAAGAAGACAAACCAGATTTTAACTTGTGGTCTTTGTATAAACAACTTTATAGTGCATAAACATACCCATATGTAATTAACTATTAATCTTATAGGCTTGATAAAGTCCAGACAAATCACTATCAACTCAAGAAATCATACAGCAATGTAAGTCCACAAAAATATCTAAATTTAGCATAAATTAAACTAGTTTAGGGGAAAAACTCTGCATTTGTCTTTTTCTGTGACCTGTGAAAAAGAGAGCCACAGTTCTCATAGATTCACAGAATCCTCTAAGTTGGAAGAGACATCCAAGATCATCGAGTCCAACCTCTGACCTAACACGAACAAGTCCTCCACTAAACCATATCCCTAAGCTCTACATCTAAACGTCTTTTAAAGACCTCCAGGGATGGTGACTCCACCACTGCCCTGGGCAGCCTGTTCCAATGCCTAACAACCCTTTCGGTAAAGAAGTTCTTCCTAATATCCAACCTAAAACTCCCCTGGCGCAACTTTAGCCCATTCCCCCTCATCCTGTCACCAGGCACATGGGAGAATAGACCAACCCCCACCTCACTACAGCCTCCTTTAAGGTATCTGTAGAGAGCAATAAGGTCGCCCCTGAGCCTCCTTTTCTCTAGGCTGAACAAGCCCAGCTCCCTCAGCCGCTCCTCGTAAGACTTGTTCTTCAGACCCCTCACCAGCTTCGTTGCCCTCCTCTGGACTCTCTCAAGCACCTCGATGTCCTTCTTGTAGCGAGGGGCCCAAAACTGAACACAGTACTTGAGGTGCGGCCTCACCAGAGCCAAGTACAGTGGGACAATCATTTCCCTAGCCCTTTGGCCACACTGTTTCTTATACAAGCCAGGAGGCTGTTGGGCCTTCTTGGCAACCTGAGCACGTTGCTGGCTCAAAATTTGAGCTGTCTCCTTCGAGCCGGAATCGAACCAGCGACCTAAGGATTCCTGCAGGCAGCACCTCTACAGTCCTCCGCTCTACCAGCTGAGCTATCGAAGGGACCTGCCTGCTGATTTGAGTGAATACATGTGCACTTCCTGGGGAGTACAGATTTTACTCACCACCACCATCATACTCTTCAATATTCAATTTTTAAAATGTGATGCCAGATAGCTCTGTTGGACTAACATCCAGAACACAAAGTGGTGCCCTGTGACCTATCACATCACAAAATAAAAATAAAAATAACAGTAATAATAAAGAGCTACATAAAATATATGCAATAGTCCTAGGGACACTTTTCATCGTACAAAGGCAAGTTTTGAGGTGTGTCCATTACAGGTTGTCTTCAGAACCTGGATCAGGGACTTCCAGTCTATACAGGCTTCCAAGTCCAATTACCCTTGTCAACATTGAATAATGCATCATCATGCATTATTTAATCAATTCCAATTCAGGGGCCTTGGGGGACACGTGGTCTGTGATTAGAGCAGCGTTACTGTGTATAGAGGTGTCAGAACTTCCTGCCTTAGTGAGAGTGGAGAGGTATACAAAGGAGACAGATGACTTATACTCACCAGTCTGGCTCATTAAGTTATGCTTAGTCTAACAGTACACATTAAAATAGCAAAAGACAGCAAAAACCAAAATAAATCAGACAATGGTAGCTAACCAAACATGGGTTATTAATGAGATGGTACAGAACAAAGGACAAATATAATTTCTGAATGCATGAGTAAATGAATTGCTGATAAGGGTAATAATAGAATATAACTACCCAGAATTAGTAATGTGATTATTTCCATAATGTATCTGAGTGTTAAAAAGTTGGAAAACAGTTTGGAAAACTCTTACAAAAATTTTTTTGTTTTAATAAAAATTTTTGTTTTTAATAAGAATTTTTTTTGTTTTAATAATTTTTTTTTTAATTTTCCGGAAAATAAATATATATTAGAAAGGAAAAGAGATACAGAATTGCAATTCTTAGTATGTTTAATTTAATAAGAAGGCAGCAAAGAGTCACGATGATTAATCACTGAAACAGCTTATCAAGGAAAATGATAAAGTTTCCATCATTTGAAGTACTAATCAGTACTGGGCATCTTTCTCAGAGTCATGCTATAGCTCAATCAGAAATGAAGGATTTGATGCTGGCAATGCCTGTCAAGAGTTCTCTAACTTGTACTATGCAAATACCAAAATGAACAGGAAGAACTGCTGTAGCTCCATAAAAAATAAGAAGTGGCTCACAGAATCTGAACTTGTGATCAGAAAGTCCTGATTCTCTGCTCTCTCTCTCTCAAACTAAGTACATCATGATGGCAAATTTCCCATCCCCACAAAACAGGAATAAAAGTAAAAGCTCAAGGGAGAGCCCTACAGCCTCTGTGAAAGCTTCAGAGAGCTACATCTTCCCTTGTTACAGAGATCAGAAAAAACATCTGGTTCATATATATACAGTTATCCCATTTCCTGCCCTCAAACATATGCAGTAAAATTACTTGCTTAATGGGAAGAGCAAGGACAAAGAAACTTTTTTTGTAAAAAACAGTATTTGAGGATGATACAAATACTGCACAGTGTGTATATACAGTACTTCTCTGAAAGCTACAACTTCAATGTTTTTTTCTGACTACAGTTACAGGTGCTAGCTGGGAACTGGGCAGTACCGTACCTATAAAACACCACTAATTCATTGTATCATGCTTCAACAGAAAATGTGACAGTTTTAGCCAGACTAATTAAGTCAATACATCTATTTGACAACTTACAGCTGCTGGCAATCTGCAGATGGAGGTGGATCACCAGCCTAGTATTTTCTGTTTCTGTTCCTAAGGATCCCTATGGCACCAGGGAAAATATTTTCCCCAAGAGATACTATTAGGATGCTGCAGAACCATGTGACATTTAAAAACTATGTTACACTGGAAGACTAATAGATGTGAGAAATATGTTTAAAATGGAAGGATGCTGTCTTGGTCCCACAGGAGGCTGCAAGAGTTTGTTGAAGCTTCTCTGGTATATTCCTGCTATTTTGGTCAGTTGCAAACACTTTCCAAAGAACTGCAATGCAATTAAAAGAGAACTTTCATACTGGGGTAGACTGCAACAATATTCTCTAAAATGAGAACATTTATGCCAATAGCAATCTATCTTGCCTGTAACTTTCTATTACTCTCATATTATGGAAGAATTTTCTGTTTCAGTATGAGTGTTTTTTTTCCTTATTAGTCCAGCTTCTGCTTGATCTTACAGTTCTGCTCATTTGCTTGGCAATCGAATGATGCTAGAAATAAGCAAACACAGAAATTAGAATTCAGCACAAGTGTGAAAGATGTAGAAAGAAGGATCTGACACAAACAAGGAAAGAATTCTCAACTTCAGGACAAGTTTAAGAAAGCAAATGTGAAAATCCATCATATTAAACTAGCATTGTGTGTCTCTGACAGAAAATGGCCTCCTCCCACGTTCCAATGTTCCGCTATTATCCTGGTTTGACCCATATCTCAAAAACATTTTTGTCCCATATCCCAAAAACATTTTTGTCCCACATCCTTTTCATCACGTTTCTGCCTCAGAAACAACCCTTCCTTGGCCTTCCCTTTAAATCAATTCTCTCAAATTTAAAAAGCGTGTTGGGCAGACCACTACACTGTCTTTGGGCGGCAATATGAATTCCATGCACCCTGCCTCTTCCCATCTTTGTTCCCATTGTTCTCTGGTCTCTTTTGACACTATTAAAATGTGAGATAATTAATTTTGGGGACCTGCGGCAGAAGGCATTGTCCTGTTGGAAATTCAGAATCTTCTACTCAGCTGCCTTCTTAAGAATACTTAGAAGAAATAACTTCAATTGTCAAATAACTCCAAGAGTTAATCCAGATTAATCTCCTTCTCCCGTGCTGGTATCCCTTCAGGATATCAGTTCTTACATTCCCCTCCCCAGCCTCTGCTTTTCAAAGAACAATGGAACACGAAACCAAAGAGGCCACAGCTGCAAGACTTGCAGACACGGACAGCAGGACAGAACTGTTCCCCAAACAGATGGCTTGCTTGGATGCATCACACCAGCAACAATTGAACTGCTAGAATCCTGGTGATTTAACTGGGGATAATACAAATCCCTGATGATGGTAAACAGCAGCAGCGAACTAGAATCAGGGCCTCCGGTGTTACTCTCAGCAGATTAAAAGTTTGATGTTGGGAATCTCTACACAGCAAGTCATCAGCTGTTAGACACAGACATTGTCAAGTCAGCAATGGTTCCCATAACTGCTGAAGGATTTCAACAACCAGGTTTAATACGTGGTATGGCGAAAACAAAGATGATATCTGCAGGACCAATCTTTGTCAGCATAATTACAGACAAGCTGTACATTAGCAGAAAAGATTTTATGAAAATGCAAGCTTTGATGAAATAAGCTCATGGGTGCTGTTCTGGTGGAAGAAGTTGTAGCTCCAACTTTTATACAAGTGCTAGATTTCCAAGATGAATAAAGCACTGCATTTTATTTCCTCATCCCACTATTGAAACACCAGCGTTCCTATTATTTTTTTTCCCCCAACACATTTTGATGTTTCTAAGCCAAATGTTAGCCCTAATCCTAGAGGCTCAGACGGATATAATCTTCTCCTTTAGAACACTTTAGAAAAGTCATCATCAACAGTTATAGCCTGGGGTGGCAGGTCTCTTTCACTAGGCAGAGCAGTCAAACTCAATCTCCTTATTCTATTCTTAGAATATGAAAGCCACATCTGAACCCAAAACACATTCTGATTTTCCAAGTCTTTCTGAAGTTTAAAAAAATAAAATAAAAAGAGTCTTTTAATCGTAATTATGGTTATGTATCCAGTAATATTTTGAGAGAAAAAAGCAGTGTTTCTCCAGTTTCCCCCTTGTTATTTGTTCCACTGTCCCTTGACAAATGCCTAACCTATTACAGTTACAATCATAATAAATGCTGATTTACTATACTCAGGATATTTTGAGGGGGAAACACTTGGTTTCAGAACTATATCATTAAACATTTTTTAATTCAGTTTATAAGGAAAAGATTTTCTTGCATATCTAGGTCAACATCAAGACATGGTGCATGCTTTAGAAAATAGCTTAGAATATTTTCTGGCTTCTATGCAGATGAATGTCAACAACTCTTTATGACCTTCAAAACATCCCCATAATACATGTAAGCTAAATGAGCCAGTGACAAAAAGGCATTTTACGATAAAAAAGTCCAAATACATTCCCTGAAGAATTATTAGAACAAACTACTTTACCAAGGTAGAGCCATTCTGAGAAGCGTGATGGCCGGTCTCCGAGCAGCATATGGGAGGTTCAGGGACATGCGATTCGTTTTCTGAATTCAACAGAAAAAAAGTGTCTCCAAGAAAACAGTCATCACGCTGAGGGTGCAAAGTGCTTTTGGCAAAGGGGTTAGGGTGACAACACCACTCTTCAACTAAAGCACTCCAGTTTTCACTTGGTAAAGGAAGAACTCTAAGAAATTTCCTGAGAGGGAAGAAGAAAAGATATTTCAATATATTATATTCTTTTATAAGACGCTAACACGCGGGCTCTTTACAAGGAGGAAAGAAAAAAGCATGGCATTTTCTCCAAAAGGTAGTGTGTGACTCTCCTTTCAGTCAAAGGTACTTTCTTTGGATGAATTCTGAGAAAGCAATGGCTGAGTGTTCCCTGCCAAGTTTGTGATGAAGCATTTCCCAAGGGTGAATCTCCAAAGATTATAGAGCAGAGCTTCGCATAACCCCCCAGATGGTAGAAATCAAACAGAACTACTCACTCATGAAAAAATGTTAACAATGGAGATTGTGATTATTTTTATTATTACTACTTATGAAATTTCCTTGTACCAAATGTTCATATAAAAAAATTGCTGTCATAGCAAGGGAGCATGTACTTTGAAGCCCCTTAAAGTCAGATATCAGACTTCAAAACAAAGCTAAATCCTGACAAAAATATCACAGAGCATATTCATTAAAAAAAAAAAAAGAATAAAATAATGCAATCTTAATTTAGATTCAGATTCAAATTCCAAAAGTCACACAGCAGAAAACCAAACAAAACTTCTCCTTGTCTGAGATATGGACCAAGGAGTCTGCTACAGGTGATATCACGCTTTGTTTTCTTTACCAGTGTTTTTCTCCACATACTGTCTTTGGTTACCCACATTGTCACAGAATTTTAAAAGCCAAGATTTGGAACGACTGTTTTAAGCTGTAAAACACACTCTGAAAGCTAGAATATATGCATGTAAATACATATATAAATATAAATACATACATAGAAATGTATATACTACTAATACATAATGCATACATTTAAATACATATATATAAATATATTTATATGTACTATATAAATACAGTCTTGGTCATTATGAGTCAGTGGTCAGTACTTTCCTGCCTATAGTTCTCATAAACATTCTCTGGTCCCTCCACGTGAGATTTTATTAAGAGTGCAGAAGCACTGATGGATACTGTCCACATATTTACACATTTGCTTTAGTTTACATTTTATAGAGAACTATTGCACTAGGATAAAAACCTGCCTCTTTGCCAGAATACAACATTTTTAACTCTGTGCACTCCTCCAACAATTTTGTAGATGCACTGTTAGCTGCAGTGCTGCGCTCTCTGCTGTTAGTTTCTTTGCTGTGATCTCTGATGTTAGTTTCTTCAGACATTTGCCTTTTGTTCCCGTATTTCATTTGCTGTTGCCCAAAACATATATATAATTACATATAGTTTTTTTGATTCCACACTTAATTAAAAACTTGCAAACACCACTTCATTCATGTTGCTACTTTGCAAATAATCACAAAACCATAGCTAGCTAGACACCCTCTCTTTCTTGCAGCTCACAATCTTTTTCTAAAGATGCCAGTTCTTCCCATCATAGTTTATTGCACCTTTTGTATTCTTGCGTGGGTGAAAGCAAAACCTTTCACAAAAACTTCCTTCTTCATGGATCCTCAATTCATTTTAAACTGTGCTTGCCCCATCTGCAGATGAAAGTTGGAATAACTGCTCGTCTGGCCCAGCTTTAGCATTACTAGTAAGGTCAGCTCCTGGCACTAATCACCACCTCCACTCTCTGTAGTCTTACCTATTGTTTGAGATATCATGATTCTGCTCTGGTACAGCCTTTATTCTGCTCTAGGTCTATAGACTGATTATTCTTCCCAGCTCTGTGCAGTTAGTGCCAATGCCTGGACTCAAAATGAAAAAGGTCTTCATTCCCATGTACTGTTCTTTACATTACCACAGGGGGAAAAAAAAAAAAAAAAAAAGAGCTGGTATTATTCTGCAATACTTTTTCAAGTGTTACAGAAAAAAAAAAAAAAAAGATTACTTTAAGCTGCAAACCAATACTGTCTAGTTTCTTTCCATTACCCTTTCTTTACTCTCAAAAGCTAGAGTACATCCCTTTGAAACTTCGTGAAGACCTGAGTTCTTGCCAAACAAAAGCAGGTAGTCCAACCACCAGAAGTTCCTAACCAGGTTCCTCCTACCTCTAAGTTACACAGAAAACACAGCATTTCCAGTTTATTTTAGTCTTTCACCATTCCTAGGTGGGAAGCCATATTCTGGGTCACCACCTGGGTCCCCGCATTGGAAAAATGTAACTCTTGCATGAAATTAGCTTTCCAGGAAAAAACAAAAACAACAACAACAAAAAAAAGAAGCCTGAAGTTTACTAGGTACTGACTCTCTTAGGGCTGGTAAGTATAATGATAAAACCTGGCTAACTTAGGGAGTCATCTCCCCAAACTAACCCTTAATAACAGCTATGTTTCTACTTTAAGATAGCCATATAGTCAGAGGGAAACCAAGAGACACTTTCTTCTTCTGGAAGGATCTAATAAAGTCAAGCTGAATCTCCCTCTGGAGATAGCTCTGTCTCCAGACAGAGGAAGCCAAGGTAATGAACTTAATTTAAAAAAACTAAAAGTTAGGTACTAGTCTAAGACAACTGCCATACAGATGTCAGTCTTAGTTGGGCTTGGATTTGGCCAAAGAGATCCTTCTAAGACTAGATTAGAAAAAATACTCTCTAGCATCGTTATTAACTGATATCCAAGCAGTCAGTAATATCATCCTGTCTATTAAAAATTCAGAAGCTGAAAGTAAAATTGAAGCAAAATTAAACACATAACCCTTTTGATCAATCAGAGATGAAGAGAAAGAAAAAAGATCCAACTGAATTTCTTTAAGAGCAGACATCTTCATTCATTAATTAGAATGTAATTAGATGAATTCCCCTGCAATCAGTTTTTCAACAGAATACTTATGAACAAAGATTCTCAGAGTTGGAACTAATGAAAACAGTTACTTCTTCGCTGTTAACTTACGAGAAATATTTTTCACAGCATTCAGCCTCTAAGAACTTTTACATGGAGAACAACTTTTTGTTCAGCCAGGTAATGACAGGACAAGGAGAATGGTTTTAATCTAAATGGGCGAGATTTACATTAGAGGTTAGGAGGAAGTTCTTCACTCAGACGTGCTGTGAGGCACTGGCACAGGTTGCCTAGAAAATCTGTGGATGCCCCATCCCTGGAGGTGTTCAAGACCAGGCTGAATGGGGTTTTGGGCAACCTGGTCTGGTGGGAGGTGTCCCTGCCCATGGCAGGGGGGTGGAATTAGATAGTCTGTAAGGTCCCTTCCAACCCAAGCCATTCTATGATTCTATGACAGAAAGCCTTGAAGAATTATTTTATATATGAGCTATACAGCAGGAGAGAAAGAAAAAAAAATAAAAATCAAAAATTCTTTGCTGCTCTTAAATCATGGAAAAAAAAAAAAAAAAAAAAAAACAACACATCCTCTAATATGAGAATAATGTGGAAGAAGCAGAGAGACACCATAATCCTGACCTCTGATTAACAGAAGCAAACAGATGAATCCAGTGCATCTCAGAAAATGTAGAGAGAATCACAGAAAACTGAGCTGAAAGAACTCACCTAGTCCATTTTCTTGCCTCAAGGAAGGATTGACATTTAAACTATCCTAAATGTATATCTTTAATCTAGTCTTTAAAATGACAGAAATTCCACTGGCTTCCTAAGCAGTTTCTAACAGTAAAAAAATAAGCTTTAGAGTATGTTTTTTCATTTACACCTAATTTCCTTTTGCACTTCAGTAAGTTCCCCCTCACATGACAGATGACCATGCTGCCATTAGCACGGTCTTTGGACCACAGAGACCAACACATGAACTTTGTTTCTCAAAGTACTGTCTCCTCTGGAAACATGGGAGCGCTGGAACAGAAGGTGCTGGACAAACTGACAGCTCCAACCTTCTACCCTTATCACAGTCAATATTTTTTAGTGGTAACATTCAAGGGGGGTTCCGAGGTCCTCTGCAAGGAGGAACAGTTTACAAGCAATGCACTAACATGCCTTGATTTTTCCGTACTCAAAAATTCCTGCTGTGTCACACTGTAGGATACAGAACCACATTTACAGTATGTAAATGCCATGCGTATGCATTTGGTGTGTTGATAGTCAGGAAATCGCCCACTCTGAGATGGAAATATACAAGGTGCAAGATCTTTTGAAAGCAAATGTTAAGGAGTATAAATAAGAAGTTTCTTTACCCTATAAATGTATCAAGGAGAGTTACTGCTAGACTTTCCAATGAGACATCTTGTAAGAGAAAGCCAGGAAATCCTCATTCATTCGTGTTCAAGCCAACCACAAATCCATATGTATGACAGGAAAGTAACAGAAGTTTACAGATTTACATTTGTATCACCGTTCTGAGTATTAGGAGTGACACAGATCATAAAAGGCTGCAAGTGCGTCTCCAACAATTTGTACATATCCAGCTGCAGCTGTCAAAATTGTTCATCACAAGAGCCAGAAAACGCAGCAGCTTTTTATTAAAATTCTCATTCACTCTGCAGACTTTGTAAGGAACAGAGATAAGGCCAAATCATACAGCTAAGAAACAGGTCCTGTACTCCCCAAATTCAGCATCCCTGAACTTAACAGATAGGAGGGAGCTGCTGACTGCAACCCCATTCTGACCAGGCACTTTATAACTACAGCACACTGACTGAAGAGAATCTGTAAGAGAATGAACAGAACTGAAAAGGAGCCCTGGAAGTGCAGAGGAAGACAGAAGTTGAGGTTAAAATTTTCAGTTTTACTCCCTTCAACACTGCAGAGATGCCAGCTATTAAGACTATGAATGTTGTTAAATCAATGAAAACTAATATGTGTTCAACATTTTAACTACAATGTTTTCAACTCAAAATGTTATACCTTTTTTTTTTTTTTTCTTATGCATAGGGAAGTCCAGCCACAAAAGAAAATGTCTCACTTGAGGCACAGCAGACAACTAAGAAAAGAATCCAGACTTCCCACCTGTCAGGGCCGATGCTCTAAGTAAGCTATTTCTACCTTCCAGCCAGAATGAAGCAAGAAGTAAATGAACAAATGGTGAAAAACTGTTTCAGGTAATTTTGATTTTAGTTGTCTGTAACAGTGCTTCAAAAGTGTTCTCATCTATCAATTTCAAAATAACTGTCTTTTAACTCTCTAAGTACACCAAATAACACAAATACCACTCCATACAGCATCTGTTGCTATAAATACAAGACACTGCAGTACTCACCGTTCTTTTACTATGACATCACCACAGGACTGGCAGTAAAAGATGCAATTCTTCTGGGGTTTCAGGCTTTCCCTCAAATTATAAACAAGTTCTACAAATAAGAGAGGATGCATTAATCTTCAAGGCTGCGTAAAATTTTCACTCATACATAAAAATCCTTCCAAATACCTCAAACTTAAACAAGAGAAGAATCTAAATAAGCAAAGTGTTGACATTCTAAACACAACCTCATTCTTTTAACCTGTAGAAGCAAAGAGATTTAGGAAAAACTTGCCACCTCTACATCATGCCCCATATTGTTAAATACGGGCAGCAATATGTAAATAATTATTTTAATGGTCCATACCCTCTCAGCTGGAGGAGCTGAGATACAGGTATCATCACAGAGAATTTGTATAATTGTGTAACTCAATCCTACTCTTTTGTAATCAGAGGTCTGCTAATAAGCATCTCTGTAACACGATGGTACATCCCAGTACATAACAAAAAATAGTTGGGGGGTTAAAAAAAAAAAAAAAAAAAAAAAAAAAAAAAGGAAAAAAGCAGTAGTCTTAGGTTTTCAGCCAGGTAAGATACACAGCCACTGCTGTACTACCCAATGAACAGTGAGCGAGCAATACCCTCTGCAGGCCAGCAGACAGAAAACAGTTTCACAGAAGACAGCTCAGACAGCTTTTCCAAATTAATATATACATATACATATAAAAGCCTTCAGAGAAAATCAAATAACATTAGGTGGAAGAAAAAACAAACTATAAGCCTGGCTCCATGTATATACAGGCTTTGCATTGCCCACTTTCTGAAATCAGAGTTAAAGTACCTTCCCAGCACAGGTGCTCAGTATTTAAGAAGCAGGTTGTAACCACAAGGGAAAGGTAATTAAAACATCCCATAAGTTCATAAGAGACAGCCAGTGTTGCATACTAATTTAAAATTTTAAAGGCTAACCAAGGTTAGTCTTTATAATTAAGTGGTCAGTGACAAATGTTGCGTTATAGCTTGGATGAATTGCGCTATTACATTTTTAGCTTAAATGTGAAATAGGAAAGGGGGAAAATTTTGTAGTGGGGGGGGGAATGTTTGAAGTAGTGGGGAAACAAAGTTTGAAGTGATGCAGGAAAGCACTGGGGAGGGAATTGAACGATGCTCTCAAACTCCTGAGGAGTTATTCAGCAACAGCTCCCCTTTCATCAAGCCACTTTTTGTGGCTTCGCTTTTTAAAACCGACAGATGCTGCACGCTATCAGATGCTGGACCCAGAGCTGTTAGTTTAAGTTGGAAACTGAGCCCCAAAGGGAGCCTTACAGAAACAGCAGCTGCACAAACACCTAGGGCATGCTTCAAACTCTGGCTAGCGCCTTATCCCCCCACAGCCCGAAGGACAGCAGCACCCCAGACCTCCCCGAGCCCAGCTCTGAGTGACTGCTACCCTCCAGCCCCCCCAAACCCCTGTAGGAATCCCCCAGCCCGTCCCCACCCGCAGCCTTACCCACGCCGCCCGGCGCCTCCCGCAGGCGCAGGCGGAGGTGCAGGGCCCCGCCGGGGAGGCTCCGCAGGCCGCGGCAGGAGGCCGGGGCCAGGCTGAGCCCTGGCGGCAGCTCCAGCGCCCCGCAGGCCCCGGCGCTCTGCAGCTCCAGGCGGGCCGGCGCCAGGCTGATGTCGGCCGGCAGGCTCCGCAGGCTGGCCTCGCTGCGGGGGGAAAGCACGGGAGTTACGGCGCTGGGGGGGGAGGCTTGGAAAAGGGCTTCCCCATGGAAGGAGCGTAAAGAACGAGGAGAAATCCATAACACACGGTGCTCAGGAAGCCTTTATTTGCGCGGCGGCTCAGCCTTGCCCCACCGCCCCACCCCAGCCCAGCCCAGCCCTCCTCCATCGCCACCCCCGGCTCCTGCCCCGGCGGTGCGGGGCTGGGAGGCAGCGCCCGCAGGTACCGGACGAGCAGCGAGGCGCTCCCCGTCCCCCGCCGGATCTCCAGCACGAACGGCCCCGCCATGCCCAGCCCGGCCCGCAGCCTGCAGCGAGCGGCAGCCACACACAGCGCCGCCTGCAGCCCGCAGCCCGCAGCCCGAGCCGCTCCCAGGGCTTCTCCCCACACAGGGGCTCTCCCCGGCTGCCCTCTGGCCCAGCCAAAAGCTGGGAGGGGTTCTGGGTTGCTTGGTTCTTGGCTGGGGTCAAAGGGTCCTTTACAACGCTGTTAGCCTCTTCTGGGAAGCCCTAAAGCTTTTTGTGGCTGCACGTGTTTGGAAACACCTCATGCAGAAAGGCAGGTTTGCCTTTGGTTAATTCCGTAGCGATTTGTTATCTAAGACACGATTGCTTTTAAGTAATACAGACCCTTGGAGGTGGCAAAACCAAGCAGATTTCTTAGGAGAACCTCAAGGAAGTAGGTGGTGTGAGTTTAGATTTTGTGGGGCAAATAGGGCAGGCAACCGTCAGCTAAACTGTCTCAGCCAAACATTTTTAATAATACACAAATTGCATCAAGTATTATAAGATGCAGACTATACTCCCTTTGTGTTCTTATTATACCTACTGGTTGTTCTGGGTGTGGTTTTTGTTTGTTTGTTTGTTTTGTTTTGTTTTGTTTTGTGGTTTGTTTGTTTGTTTTTAAAGAAAACATTTTATTCCATATGGCAGCTTTCATTTCCAACTGCATCACAAACCAACACCCGTATTGCCAGTTAAATTGTTCTGAGCAAGCAGGTCACATGTCAGACACCACTAAAATTCACCTCATGACATGAGAATCAACTCCTAGTAAAAGGGACTCCTAGTAAAAGAGACTTCAGCTCTGGCAGAGGCTTACACAAGACTACAAAGCTATAAATAATCTCAGGTATTTCCTGCAGGGTGTGAGCTTCATATATTCAACATTGTCTGCCATAGGTTTCTCACTGTTTCTGCAGTGAAATAATTATACAGAAATGAACATCAATGTCCAAAACCATGGGTGCACCTAGCCCAGTATTTTGATTCCAGTGTCAGCAATAAGGAGATGCTATTTAGGAAGAGCTCCTTAAGTGTAGCTATTGTATTAAGGGTGCTGGAAGGCACATCCCTGCCTATTTCCTTCTTGCCATCAATACGAATAATGACGACTTTGTAAATCTTGATGAAATCTTTCCCCAACCTTCTTTCCTGAGCCGTTCCAGACTTTGTCATTGCCCCTGTAGGGCAGTGGCTCCCTCCCTCCTGTGCTGTCCCTAACTACCATACAGCTTCTCAATCTGTGAAGACAAGAACTGACACAGGAATCAATCTGACCAGTGGCTATATGGACGCCAAACACCTCCCTGTTTCTTGTTCTCCATATCCTTCCCGATGATGTGCAATGTTCTGTTGGGCTTTGTTTGAGTTGCTACTGCACAGAAAGCTGATGCAACAGTTTCACAGGACTTTTAAGATAGCTCCAGGTTTTAACAGGCAATGGTAAAAGTTCAGCAAAAAGTAAGCTCAGAGATCTCACTGCTCCTCAGGGCGGTGTGTGAACGTATGTGGTTACTTTCTGGAAGTCCTGCCATTTCTGGCAAGACCACCACTTCCGAGCAGCTCCAGAGGCACCACCAAGCCCTAGTTAGGAATTAAGTCTCAGATGCATTTGTATGGTATTTTAATGAAAAACATGTCAATACACACTGTTTTAGTTGGAAGTATGACACCTGTAGTGGTACTCAATGTCTCACCAAAACCAGTGGGAACTGCCAGCTTTCCAAACATGAAGTTGTGAAATACTGAATCCTTAATAGTGTAGGATTTAGTAATTTTGGAATCCTAAATTAACAGTTTAATGAGAAAAGGAATCCTGTCTCCTGTTTATTACCCCAAGCTTGGAGAACAAAACCTGCCTTGTTAGACTGTCGTCTTGATAGGATTTGTAACCTGCTACCTGGTGATCTATGGTACGAGATTTTCCCCAGGCTGTATTTTAGAAATATTTACTTGTTTTCAGACAAAGCCTGAAAGATTGATTAAGCTGCTCATGTAATTCAATTTGTGAGAAACAACCTGCAGCCAACAACACAGGCTCAGGCGAGGGTCTCAATAAAGTAGCATTTTTATTTATAATTTTAATGGTGGGTGTCTTGCAAGCTGGAGCACCCAGCACAAGCCTATGATAACCTTATATTCTCTATTACCTGACACTTTAATTCCTCACGTTTCCTCACTGAGTACCACAGGTTCAAAAACTACTCAACACTATACCATATATATATACAATTTTATTTGACCAACTGTTGATTTCTCATTTTTTCCCCTTCCCTCGTGACTGGAGGACCCGTGATTTTTTTATTTCGACTGATTTCACACTGTTCGCATCCTTTTTGTCAGCCACCCTCCTTATTTTGGGGACGACCGAGGCGCTTCGTGAGGGGGGGGAGCGACCGTTAAACCGACCCCGCAGGCGCGCGCCTGCCTGACGCGGGGCGGTGCTGGGCGGGGCGCGGCGCGGTGCATGCCGGGAGCTGTCAGGGCGGCGCGGGGCGGCCGGCGGCGGCGGGGCCCTTCCGGCGCGGGGCGCTCAGGTAACGCGACCCCCCCCCACCCCCACCCGGCCCGTCCCTGAGGCGCCGCCGCCATTTTCTCGCCCCCCTCCTGGGCGCAGCGGGGGCACCCCCGGGGGTCCAGGCGGGTCCAGCCGGGCCTGGGGGCTGGCGGCAGGTGCGGAGGAGCCCGGTGACAGCCCCTCCGGCGGTGGGTTTGTCGAGGGGGCGGTGTCCCGTCAGGGGGAGGGCCCGCAGCCGGCCCGCCGTGACCTTGAGGTGTGAGGGCGGCGGGGCCCGGGTGGCCGCTGAGGGGTAGGGGGGTGTCTGGGCATTGGGGATAAGCAGCAAGGCCTGAAGGGCTCGGATCTAAATGCCCTAAAACACGCGGCGGGTGTGCTGAGGTTATCCCGGGGCTGGCACCACTTGTGGCCCTTGGATTTCCATGCTGGATAATTAATATATCATAAATAATAAGCGTGCCTGCGTATCAGGTGCAGTAGCAGCACATCACTGCCCTCGGATTAACCGGGTGATGCTGCCTGAATCCTGCAGGGCTGCGAGCTGGCAGGGGGATCTCTTGAAGTAGCGATGTGCTGGATGTTTGCAGGCAATCCGGGCTTAGTATAAGGTTGCATATGGTATCTTTTAATTTTGTTGCCAAGCCTCAGTCTGGCTGTATCCCTTCTAAATACTTACATTGGCCTGGCTGTCAGATGTGCTTATTTTTTTTGGTTGAAACATTGGTAACTTTCCACCAAAGAGACTGAATGCAACACAGTAATGTCTTTTCACACGTCTGATAATGATTTGATGTCTGAGTGTTGTGATTATCCAAAATGTGCAGTCACTTATAACGTAAAAGATGAACATCACAAGGATGAACGCTGGTTTGGAAAAAAGCAGGATGTCAACCACATAATTCCCAGGTTGGTTTTAATTGAAATTAGAATAGGCACTTTTGGAAATTTAAGTAGCCTGGAAGGGAGAGATGGGGAAGGAGAACTGCACTTCTGACTTACTGAATGTCTCCTGTTCCCAGCTTGTTGCTGGCACCTGTGACAGTACTTAAACAGCATCTGGCAAAAACAAGTTGTCCTGCATCTTCCAATAGGGCAGTGGCTGTGCATTCCAGTGCATGGTTATGTTTACAGGGAAGGCCGTGGTTTTTTTGGGCAGCACATCTCTTGTGTGAAAATACTGGAATGCTACACTGACCACTGGAAACACTCATCACATGCACGGCAAGCTAAGCTGGGAAGAATGCAGTCTGTCTGGTGCAAGTGGGCTTGGATTGTGTTCTGCCATCATTCTCCATCTGAATAAAGGGAAGACACTTCTGTGTATTCATCACTGGCTTTGTTGGCCTGACCAGTGTTACTGCCTGTCCACCTTTATTTTTAGTGTCTTCGTGCTCTAGCTGGGAATGATTGCTTGGGGAAGACTGACTAAAAATAATTATTACTGTTCTCGCTTGGTTTGTTTTGTTTTGTCTGTGGAGCGGTGTTGATATCCAGTGCAGAAGATGACCAAGAAGGCTTATGAATGTTGTTTTAAAAAAAAACGGGGGGGGAATAACATGTTTTGGAAATGGCTGAGGAAAAATAGAGACAGAAAAGAGAACTAAGAGATGATAAAAAGAGACTGCATCTGCTAAATCATGGAATGGAAAAATAGAACTTTATGCAGTAGAACTTATTTGTATACACTTAAGTTGTCTTTGAGATGAATAATCATGATGCCTGAACTTGTAGCTGATAATCAGTTAAGTGACAAATAAAACCAAAAAGAAATATGTTTCATCGCATTCTCCCCAAGCTCTCAGGGAGAAAGAGTGCAGGAGGATCAAGCATTTTTTCCCCAATGACTGAAACAAGAAAAGACAGCACCAAAGCTACTAAGGAGACGATTTTGCTAGTCAATGCAATGTTATTTTTGTAGTTTTTGTTTTAAATTATTTATATATGCAATGTTAATTCTTTTTCTCTGGTAAGTGCTTCATCATTACAGAGATTTCAGAATATCCACGTAGTTGACAGTGCATAACTGGAGGTATTGATAGGTTTTTCCCTTAGTAACATTTTCTGTAAACAAAAGAAACATTTTCTGTAAACAAAAGAAACAGATCAGAAATTTGTACTTGCATATAACCATTAAAAAAAATAATTAAAGCCAAGGCATGGTGTTTTTAGAAATCAAAGAGAATGTGAACTTTCTGGCATAAGAAAGGCCCTTTCTGACCCTTTCTGCTGATAAGGAGGGTGAGCAAGTTTCCGTCCCACAGAATTCTGTTTCCAGAAGAGTCAGAAGAGGATTCTGCCTTACAAATCCCTCTGTAATTCATCTGCAGAACATGAGAAATCAGGCACATTGCGAAATATAACCACAATCTAGATAATGTACGGGCATAAATATGGCATATGACACTAATTCAGAATTTAAATGAGTATAAAATGATAAAACCCAGTTGTAATGGGTGAATGAGTAATATCTTAAGACCTCAGGTTTTATATATATATAAAAAAAAAAAGGGGGGGGGGGAGGTTGGACAAAGTGTTACCTAAATAAAGCTTTGATAAGATTGTGTATGGAGAACTTCTGACACAT